CACCTCTGTACCTGGATGGAAATAAACTGAGAATCTTCTGGGTCACTTTGAGTCCAGCAGCATAAAACATTTTGATACATGACTGATTTAAACTGAAATCTGGTGAACTCAGATGGTGGTATTTGGGGGAAAATTTTTTTCAATAAATCATCCAGTTGGCTCAGTGACTAAGAAAACGGGAGAACTCAACGCAAGTTTGTGACAAGGGAACAAACAGAAGAGATTAATGCCTTTCCCGATACGCTTCAAAAGGTGATCAAACTGTTCTTGATTGCAAAAGCAAAGCAATAAAGATGAGGCACATAGCTTTCCAGCTCCAAAAAAGATCGCCGTTGCTTTTTCTGTTTCCTTGTGCCGCCCTATACCAAGTGGTTGGAGATATGGGAAACTAGTTTCACCTCCAGCACCTTCTCTGGACCTGTCTCAGGGTGCCCTGGACTCCCCAGCTCCCACTCCACGTTTTATGCTGCTCACTGAAACCTACACTAATAGATGACAGCACCAGGATCCAAATTCAACCTGTCATACCTGACCTTGATTTTGCAAATATGATATAAAAGACACACTTCGGTCTTCCTGAGGAACTAAGCCACTATCTCCTGTCCTGCTCAAAACAACCTGGCTTTTCTTTTTCAAATCCTCCCCAGATTCCTGAGGAAGGGAGTAAAGGGGAGGCTGTGCTGGATCAACCCTTCATCCCCCCGACCTCCCCTTGCTTAGGTTCTACTTCATCAAGTCCGCAGGTGTTTGTGCCTATGAGGCCCTGAAAACTAGGAGGGCTCCCAGACCGGGACCTGGGTTTTCCTTTAGGCCTCCTGCAGCACCAGCAATACAGCCCAGCTGCTTTCATTGACAGAATCTTTATTCCTGGCCTGCAGTCCCAGCTGTGTTCTGGGTGACACATTTGCAGGTTGCTAAGGGAACAAAGGACAGGACCAGAAAAGCCGTGGGTCAAGCTGGAGTTCACTGTAAACTCTCCTTTTCCTTTCTGCTGCCGGCTGCTTCTATGGCCATACCCCATTAAAGCTGATTCCCAGAATCAACTCGACTTTTCCCTCTCCACTGGGCCCCAGTGCACCTGAGCATCACTCTAAGAGGCTAGCTAATCCTCTGAGCTTTTTCACTTGGCAGGCACTGAGACTTGCATGGTGAACTCTGGGGACCAAAGAAAAAATAGATTCATGAGATCCCCTTCCACCCCCACCTTTCCCACTTCATTGCACAAAGAGGCTCAACTCTCTCACTGCCTGGGATCTAGCCCCCTCTCAGAGTCCAAACCCTCAGGAAACTGGTGGCTGTGAGCTCCCTCACCTTTGAGGCCTAAGTATTTCCAGCATCCAGGGCCCAGCATCCAGAGGCCAGGATCCCAGACAAATGCTGGACAGACAAAGAAGATGCAAACAGGACGGTATTACCACGTTAATGGCCCAAGTTGCGGCCTCCTGAAGATGCTGGGAGGAGGGGGGGTTCTTTCATTTACTTTTTCTTTCCTTCTTTTCTTTCTTTCTTTCTTTTTCTTTCTTTCTTCTTTCTTTTTCTTCTTTTTTTTGCAAAAGGAGAATAGTTCTGCTTTCTATTTTACTACAACAATAGCATGGACTGGCTCCTTCAAGTGTTTAAAAAGCAGCCTGAGAAATCTCTAACCAGCCCCTCGGTCTCTCCAGTCTGCCGCTTTATTGTCCTTCCCATCCCAGTGAACAAAGGGGAGGGAAGGGTAGAGGGCCCCCAGTTGTTGACTGTTCTCAGCGTCCTAATCCTTGAGAACCGGTGAGGGAAATGGCCTGTGGAGCTGGTAAATCGAATTCTGCCCTCACCTTTTATTCCCTCCCTCTGCCTGTGCACTCCGGAGTTCTTCAGGTATTATGAAGTCTCCTGGCTAGCAGGCCAGCAGGCATCTGGGGGCTCGCTAAGGGATAAAATGCCCTGATGGATCATTCCCTACCCCCATGGGTAGCCTGTATGGTTGGCTTGTTCCCACCATCCAGGCGGCTCTATTGAAGACCGAATGTCAGCCACAGTGGCTGGCGGCCTCCTTCTAGTTGGCAGCACAGGAGCTGCCCTGTCTGTTCCAAGTCCCTGGACATGGGCTGTACATCCCACCCAGAGCTCCAACTTCCACACCAACTTGGGACTAACCTACCAGTGCAACTCCTCACTTAAGGAAAGCTACTTGGCCTTGACTGGTGGTACCTTTCCAAGTTTTCTACTCAGGGACCAAGGGTTTCTTTGCTTTAAACCTGGGGAATTGTGCAGGTGTCTTTTAGCTCAGTCATCTGGCAAGAATGGGGGCGGGGGGATTAGCTTTGATGTTGCAGTATGTGGAGATCTCAAGGGTACAACTGGACTGAGCTAAGGAAATGATGAGTACATCCTCTCCTAGGAGGATCGGACAAAGTGACGTGACAAGGCTGTTATAGATCCTGCATGCTGGTTACAACGATCCACGTCAGAAAAACGTTTTACGCTGCTGCCCCCACACAAACTCATAATGTGCGTGCACATTCACACAACAAACATTTTATGAAATGATAACAATATGTGTGATACAACCTGATATTTTTTACTCTCTATTTCTTCTGTCTTCTCTCTCTCTCTCTCTCTCTCTCTCTCTCTCTCTCTCTTCAAATGCTGGTTGTGACTCATCAATTTCACTTCATGACCCACCAATGGGTTGTGACAGTATTCAAAGCCTTGTATCAAGGTTAGTATTTTCATTTTCCAGCTGACAAAATCAAGGCCCAGAGATTTTCTCAAGATGATACCAAAGCTGGAAGTAAAATCCAAAGGTTCTTTCTAATAAAGGAGGGACCTGCGTTTTCTGGGGACCTGCATTTTTTGTTTTCCCAAAGTCTTTGGGAGCACACAACAAGAAAGCAGGGCATACCAAGAGGTTTGTTTTCAGGGGCATTGCTGGTAAAAGCAGACAGAGGTGTTCTACTGCTTCTGGGAAACCTCTGAGGGGGCTGTGTAGCTTGGGGAGTGGAATAGAGAAAACAACTTAGAAAGCAACCAGGTGAGGTTCTGAGGTCTCTCAACCAAGCATTTTACTTACTGGTGGTTGTTTTTGAAGCATAAGACATTTTCCTGAATTTCTGTCTTTCCTAGACACAGCTCCAGGTCAGCCTCCTTTAGTGATCCACTTTCTCCCCCGTTATCCAACTTTTTTGAAAAGTCATTCCTTGCAGTTTTTTAACCTCTACCAATTCATTGTATTTTCAGTCTCTACTTTCTCTAAATAACTGTCTCTTCCCTGTTAAAATCATGATCCTAGCAATGAGCATCAGAGAGACAACTCAGTGAATCTTGTTCCCACAGATGTTATCCCAAAAGTTATCCAAATTTGACCACGCTTACAAATGCTATTTAACAAAATGCCCAGTGATCAGGGCATGTGTATCACATCAAGACTCTTGATACAGGTCATCTGAGCAGAACAAGCTCTTTTCCTCCTGAAATTATCTTGTAATCTTCCATAGAATTTCTTGAAACCTTCATCTAAATTTGCTACTTACTATACTTCTAATCTTTTAGGAAAGCCTCCAAAAATGAAGAGCTGAATGCCACACTGTGCACTGGGTAAACAAAAGTCCAGCTTTCTGATTGCTTATTAGCTATACACCCTTAGAGAGTATATAACAAAGAGGCCTGCTGTTTGCTTTGCTTAATCTGGTCTTAAAATCTCTGTTCCTTTGTCAGAAAACACTATTTGCAATTGTAAAAAAAAATATTTACCAAGGAACTTGGATAGCATAAGTCGAAGGCTAAGAGCCAAAGGTCAGTAGTTCTCACCCCAAATTTCGTGGACCTGAGAGTTCCTGCTGTGGAGCTCAGCTACACCAAACAAACATGCAGCTTTGTGAGTCCATTAAGAAGCTGACATTTTAGAAGGGGAAGGAAAGGGAAGGCTGCAGCCTGTTCCTCAGTTAGAAGAATGGGCTCCCCAGCCTGCCCCACATAATCCCTGCTAGATCTTTGCAATGCAATGTGTCTCTACGGGGAAATCACAGGGACTGCCCTGTTTCACAAACCTGGGAAAAATGCTTAACTTATAAAATCCTTCAGGGTAGGACTTCTCCCATGGACAGCAGTGACAACATGCTCCTCTAGGGCTCAGGCCAGATGTTCACCTAAGCATCTCTGTGGGTGGGGTCTCCTGTCTGACAGTAGGGGACAGATATGTATTCCAAGCACTTCTGTGGGGATCCTTCCTCATCCACAAAGCAGTTTTGGACATCTGATCTTGTGGGCTGACTCTTCTAACAGCACTTGAATTTACCCCTTCATGTGAACTGTTTTCTGGAAAGACCTGTAATTGGGTGCCTTTCCTAACCAACAGTGTATCTGGCATCTGGCATCTGGGAATGAACTACCATTGTAGATCAGTGAGTTCTAGCCTCAGGGTGCTCGACCCTAAGCAATAACTCAGCTCTAAGTCCTGGGTTCAGGTCACAAGGTGCAGGTTCTAAAGGTCAGGTCCTCCGCAGGAAGACCATGTCAGGACTTAGGCACAAGAAAAGGAAACAAGACAACCAGAAGGAGTGAGGGAGGCAGGGCTCAAAGAGCCATGACACTGCACCCCAGAGGCTGCCAGCCCAGGTGGCTCTTCAGCTTGTTAAGCAAGAGGACTCTGGGGTAGCACTGGCTCCTCACCTCCACACTGGTGTCATATTCATTGCCTACCACGCCGCAGGATCTGCAAAGAGGAATGGGGTGGTAGCAATTCCAAGCCTTCTCGGTTTGATCCTCATGTTTTGATCGTCTCATTCTGTTATGAAATTCTGTAGGTGTCCCTCAGCCCTACCTCAATCTTCTCTGTTAAATTCTTGCCACAACTGCTGATCTCTTGCTCTCTTTAGGGTAAATATCACTGGCCAATGCATGTTGGCTTTTTATTCCGTCTAGAGCTAGCTTCTATCAGAGCCATGGTAGTAATTACCACTAGCAATGGGTGGCACTGCGCATAATCAGCTTAAAGAAATAGCTTAATCCAAGGATCTTACCTTGAAGAACCAGGCCTTCCTCCTTGATGGTGTAGACAAATGAGGTGAAGGGAGCCAGTGGGGACTTGGCAATGAGAATCTGCATATAAAGCACATTTTTCTAGGGTTAGTCAAAGGATCAGGGATGGGCCTCTATTCACTCCCGTCCCACTTTCAAAGTGGTAACATATGACTGTAAGTCACAAGGCTTATTTTAAAAAAATGTATAACCCAATGTTTAAATGAGTGTTATCCTTTCAAAGAGGTCATCTTAAAAGGCTACACATTTATTCCAACTTCTCTGCCGTCAAATACCATATTCTTGAATCAATTCTTTTAGAAATAAGTCTCATTATTTTATAACACATGCTGAAATTGCTACCTTTCTGCCCCAAAATAAACCTAACTTGATTCTCTAATTTTATTTATAAATTTAGCTGTTTTACTAAAAAAATTCAAAGCTACCTTTAAAAGATTTACTATCACTACAAATATTCAAAATAACTTGCTAAAGACAAAGCAATAAAAGGTTTCTTTTTTGGCCCTGGTCCTTCACCAAATCCTTTGCTATGTGACTACATTTTCTCTTACTTAAGATGTAGAGCATTTTCCACAGCCCTTGACTGTGGATTTGGGCACGTGACTTGCCAGGTGGCATGACACAGGTTGTGCCAGTTTCCAGCCAAGGCCTCAAAAAGCCTCAAGTATTTCTAGTTGTTCTCGTAATGTTTGTGCCATCGTCAGAGAAAAATATGTCCATGCTAGTCTGCTATCTCAGAAGGAGGGCAATAGATACCTGAAACAGAGCTGGCCAGGAAGGCTCAGGCTAAGGAGTCGACCCCCGGAGACCCACATTTACACAAGTTAAATATTGCTGTATGCCTCTGAGATTTTGGTAGTGGTGTCATGAAGCATTATTGCAGCAAGAGTTAACTGATATACCAGCCAAAATTTCAAAAACGTTTTCAGCAATGGCATTCTCCTAAGAGGACACCTATTTTAAAGGAGATGGTTATTTGGTCATTTAAAAAATCAGTGTAATTAGGCCATTATCATATCTCATATGGCTCTACAGAACCTCTAATAATTGGTGGATTGCTTTATTATAGTATTTCTACTGAAGGAAGATTAGTATCAGTTTCCTGTTTTACGTATTAAAACATTATCAGAAACAGGGACAGTTTGAACTCTGAACCATGTAGGTAATCAGGGAGGCAAGAGAGAAGGAAGAAACAATTTCAAATAATCAAAGGGCTTACATATAATATCTTGACTGTCTCAATTCAACAGATATGTACTGTCAACTATGAGAAGTGGTGGGGAAATGCGATGAAAAGATCTCAGGTTTTAGTGATAGGCTTGGCATCCAGCTCTTCCGCTCATCAGCTAGGAGCCTACGGCAGAGCCCACAATTTTCCTCCAGTAGCCATTCCCTTTCTTCCCTTTAGTAAAGAGTCCCCCAAGTTTCCACATTTCTCTGCTTCTTTTGCAACTAGGTGTGGCTATGTGACCAAGCTTTGACTAGCAGAATGTGAGTACAAATCACAGGTAGGACTTCTGGATTATGTTTTCATGAGAAAACTGCTAAATAAATAACTTGTTAAAGGCAAAGCAATCGAAGGTTTCTTTGTTGGCCCTGGTCCTTCACCAAATCCTTTACTATATGACTACATTTTCTCTTACTTAAGGTGGAGAGCATTTACTTAAGGTGGAGTGCCCTTCACTTTCCCTTTCACCCTTCCCAAGACAGGAACCAGCTCCAAGCACAGGGGTGTGGACAACACCCTGGGGATGACAAAGCAGCATGGGAGAGGGAAGCTGGGTGTCTTCAGAGAACATTAGTGTCTCCTACCCAGGGTCACAGTCCTCTCAGGACAGAGCCACTTGTCTCAACCACAGTATTTTGATAACTTTGTTACTACAGTGCAGCCTGAACTCTAACCAAAACTGTGACCCTGAACAACCTAAACTTTTTAAGTCTCAGTTTCTCCACATGTAAAATGGTAATAAAAATACCTTCCTAAGTGGGATTATTACTATTAAATTAAGTATACAAAATGCCTGTCACTGTATCAAACACAAAATAAGTTCATAATAAATAACAGGAACATTTTCAACTAACCCATCACATATGCTTCCCAAGTACGCCTTTACCCTCACTCACCGAACAACAATATGCTTGGCCTCTAACAGAAGGAAGTCTCCAGTTGAATTTCAGTAATTTTTACAAGTGTTCTAAAGTTATCTAGAAAAACTAGTTCATCATTCTCAGAACCAATGAGAAGGAAGTATAGGTGGGCACTTACACTTTCATGTCAAAAATATCTCATTTGAAAATTAAGGTGGATCCTGGATCCCTTTCTGCCTGAGACAGTTTGGAGACAGTTCAATGTGAATTTTAAGAATATCCCTTAGAAGGGGAATGGCATGGTAGAAGACAAGACAGTGGTTCTTGGTTTTAATGTGAGTTTGCATCACTGGTGGGTCTGCTGACCTACACATTCTGATTCTTAGGTTTTGAGTGGAGCCTGGGAGAGTCTGCATTTCTAACAGGCTCCCAAGAGACACTGATGCTGTGGTTCGCAGACCACATTTTGAGTAGCCAGATTCTAGGCAATTAGCCTGATTGAAGAGTCTAAGATGGAGAGGCAAGAGATGGGAGCTGTGGGGCCAGTTAGGGGGTGACTCCAATAAATCAGTGAAGAGATGATAAGGGCATAACCTATAGCTGTGTCAGAAAGAAGGGGGAAACAGGAAATAGATAAGAGAAATGTAAATCCTTTAGATCAAATAGCAGTAAAAATAAACTAAACATATCCAAAATCTCAGATCTTTGTTGTCTGTATATAGCAACTACACATGAAACCAAAAGGGCATAAATAACTAGTAATAAATATCGTGCCATATTTTTTTAAATATTACCATTTTTATTTTATAGACTGCAGAAGCTGAGACCCAGAAAGAAAGAATGCCATCTGAGCCGAAGCCTTCTGACTCTGTGGTGCTAACTCCACCTTCTAATAGCCACTCTGTGAACCCCAGCCAAGAGGATCTCACACCTGGAGGGTCCTCCCTACAGGAAATCAGAGAGTTTGGACAGGTCACTTATTAATGCACTGTCCTTCTGGAGCAGGGTTTAAAATGAGTCATCAAAAGGATGATCCGTGTGCAGTTAGAAAAAGGAAGTGATAAGTTATGTCAGATGAATTCCATTTCCTTTCTTTGGAAAAGAACTTCCAGACTGATAGATCAGAGGGCTATCACCAACACAAAATATCTGATTTCAGCAAAAAATGTGACAAACTCTCTTCTGGATAAAGTGAAGATAAGTTGAATTGGATACTAATACCACTAAGTGGACTTGTGAGTGACCAAAAGGTCAGTAGTAACCTGGTGAGGGACAGCAATCTCTAGGAGAATGTACTAAATTCTAGCCTTCAAGTCAGTAAGACTTGAATAAGATTGCTGACTTGAATAAGATTGCTGATGCATTCAAATACATCCACACAACAATTATGAAATCCAGCAGGAAATGGAACTGACAAAAACTGCTGCTCTAATAGAGCTTATATTCTAAAGAAAAATAAGAAGTATAAAATAAATACAATTATATTACGTTCGATGGATGAGAAGATAAAGAATATAGGAAGTGTATTGGATTGAAGGTGGGGTGTCAATTTTGAATAGAGAATCATGAGATCTCACTGAAAAGGTGACATTTGGACTTGTGAATCATGTAACTAAATCTACTGATGAAATGCTGAGTTGATAGGAAGGTAACAAAAGACAAGGAGTTTAGAGAAAGAGGTCATATATTAGATTAGATAATCATGATATCAAAACAAATCTCAATTTGGTTGGAATGTTGGAACAAACCCTACTCATTGTTTGGGATGCAATTTTATTTAAAAAAATGAAAGGCCTTGTCCTTGAGAACAGAGCACCAATGATTCATTATGGAACAGGAGAAATAAGATTTAGTATTCAGAAAATGGAGTGTTGGTTAACTATAGTTCAATATTAGTCAGCTGTGAGATGTAATTCTCAAGAATCTAGCATGTTCTCAGGTTATATCAATGGAGATACAGTATGTGGAAAAAGGGAGGTATAGTCCTGCTTTCCTCCTCATCTAGCAAACCATGCCTGATGCAATGTGTTTGGACTGGGGCCCAAATTCCAAAAGAAAAAAATGACAAAAAAGAAGGTAGTTGGATGTCCAAAGCAATCCACGACCACAAACTCTTCAATGCAAACATCATGGTAAGAGGACTGGAGTGAAGATGCATATTGCTTTTACTTTGAGTTTTCTAATCTGAAGATTGTGTAATATTATATACTAGTATTATATACTAGTATATACTATGTGAAGATGCCTATTGCTTTTACTTTGAGTTTTATAACCTGAAGATTCTATAGTATTATACACTAATGAGGGGAAATAAAAATTATATTTCAATATATTTCAGGAAAAAAAGTGATGCTTTCCATGTATCTTTGTGGATACATATAGATTCCTCCCTTTTTTAGATCCAAATTAATGCCCCATGACCTTTCTGCCATGCAAACTATAAACTATCCCCTTCTAAAGCAGACAACCCCCCAGTAGATAATTTAGGCTGTGCTAGTTCAGATGTTCAGCCATCCCATAAATCTGGGGTGTTCTAATTATTGTCCAACTTAGGCGGTTTTCAAGTATCATTCAGTCTTTTCCAACACATGATGCCCTGCAGGGAGGCCTAGCTGCTTAATAAAACACCAGGGCCCTAGTGAAAAATTCTGATCACACTCAAACCTGTGTGCAGTGTGTGAAAGTTGGCTTTGGAACTCTGAGGGTTCACAGAAATATGTAACTGAGCAAGAATGAGTGTAGACATATGTGGCTCAGAAAGCCTGGGCTTCATGTGGTAGGTATGTGGTATTGTGGGTGGTTAATCCCATCTCCCACAAATAGCCAGACTATTTCTTCTTGAATATTTCCTTCATATCAGACCAGCACAGCTTTAACTGCATTCTAATGAATACACTTTCTCCTCTTTTTTTTTTTTTTTTTTTTTTTTTGAGACGGAGTTTTGCTCTTGTTACCCAGGCTGGAGTGCAATG